TTCTGACTTTGCAACACTACGAGATTGCTGTTATGCTCCTATTCAAGTCATATTATTAAACGTTTCGAACAAAAAATTATATCTAAAGGTCTCTCACCCTTTTTTACTTTGTTTCTTCCTTTCCCTTGCCATAGTCTTGTATAGTTCAAAGTTTTTGTATTTCGAGAATTACCAAGAAAAGTTAATCAAGGTGCTGGTGATTTATATATAATGTTATATGGTGATTGAAATAATGAGACGAAGTTTGAATCAACATTTCCATTTCCTTTGCGGAGTTACCATTTCTTGTGCGGAGTGAGCTTCGCCAAAAATTAGATCGATATTTTGAAACAGTGCGAATGGCATGACTGTTTGGTACACTTGGTGATTTAAAGTATTTGTGCTGTATTGCAAGGAATGGCCACGGCATTCTTTCGTTTTCTTTTTCTTTTTTTTTTGGTGAGTTTTCAGTTGTAAAGCAGATTGTTTCCTTTTCATTTTCATCATTTTCACTGAACCGACATATTTACTTTTTTTCTTTTTCTTTTTTTTTTTTTGTTATTTAGGCGTCCAGGCCATCGTCTTTCAATAGGGATAAAAAGAAAACTACGTCCAACAATGACGTACTGGCGCTTTACCTCTTCCTTGTTTCCATCTGTTAGTAAACAATTTTTCTTTTTAACTGCATTTTGTTGCTGCTCCAAGGAATTGTTTTCCCTCCGCATATCGATGTCGATTTTTTGTCTTTTTTCTTGCCTCCTTTTCTTTAACAAAAAAGCTATTCGACTGTTTAATTTATGCTGAGAAGATGTACATAATATTTTCTCCACCACTCTTACAGCTGATATTAAGAGAATATTTTGTAAAAAATTGAAGTGATGAAAAATACAGTTTAAACTTACTAAATTAGAAAATTATGTCTCACTGATACTTTTCACCATATGTTTATATGCGTAGTATGAATAACTAATTGGCATGGAAATTGAATGAATAATTCTGCATTGCGTCAGCAACTGTAATTACTAACGCTTGAATAACTGACCTCTTCATGTTCCATCCAACATAGTATTCTGCTGAAAAAAAAAAACTTTTTTTTGCTGTCATATATTCTTTTATATATTGAATAGTTTAGTCTGTAAAACATAATTTATTCAAGTATAGCATTCTCCGTCTCTTTTTCTCGTAAAATTTGATATCTCAATGTCCTTTAGATTTTATTTTACTTACATATAAATGATATTCGTTTGACCATGTTAATTTTCTTTCATTGTTGGCTGAAGTAATACATATGTCTTTCAGCATATTTTGTCTATAATCCCTAGTCATTAAATCGCTAAATTTTTATTTCGATCTGGGATTGTGCAAATATCTTTAAATTTTGAAATGCAACAAAGTCAAGCTGTAGATTAGTTTGTTTAATGTCTCTCAAACAAAGAAATGGAAACAGCAACGGTCAAGATCGGTGGTATTTATGTGAATGAATGTTTGTTAAAGGAATATAATCATCAATCTTTCCATCATGTCCAAGTCCAACCTATCTAAATAGTGCAGTGAATTCGGAGCAGTTGGATAGAAATGTTGTTCTCTCTTACTATGTCATATATAATGATGATCGATGCTAGTGAGTGTTTGAAGCTTCTGCCGATGATGACACTACTGTCTCCATATAACAGAGGGAGGGATGCTGGTATGCTGAATTTACTGTGTGAACACAGATCGAATGATTTGTGGGAATTAGTCGATATTTGTATTGCTGGTTCCTTCAGTTCATCATGTCAGTGGCAGCTGCGTCTATAAAGCATAAAGTAGTCGTAGTAGAATGACTTCAAACATTAGGCTTAATCTTTATAGTTAAAATAAAATTGTTGGTTAGATTTCGTTTACTTATCTCACCCTTCCCTATTTCCTCAAGTTTTATTTATTTTTGCCTTCTGTATATTTGTTGATTTTTGTCTGTACCAACTTTTTATCTCTCATTCGATATCACAGAAAGCATAATAACATTCGAGCTGATATATATATATATATATATATATATATATATATATATATATATATATATATATATATATATATATATATATATATATAGTAGTAGTAGTAGTAGTAGTAGTA